CAATTTGGGGGCTCGTCCGGGATCTCTGTCGCCCCCTACTGGAGCCACTGCCACACACCAAGTGGGAAGACGCGTCCCGCTGAGTTCAGCGGTCTCGCTGGTCGTGGTTGGGGGTCCTGGGGGAGGCCGACTAAGAGACCCGAAGGCAAGACAGATCTTCAGTGAACCAGGAACGAAAAGGGGAGTGCGCGCTGGACCTGGTGGAACTCCGAGCTCGGATCAAGCACACGAAAATTGGGCTTACAGTAGTGTGCTTGTTGGTCCTTTTACACCAATCCCTAAAAAAAGCAGTGACGGGTGAGTACCGCTGAAGGGATAATGGTGGGTGGACATCTTTGACCTGAGACTTGGATGATTGATGTATGTCTGAGAGGTGCTATATTGTGCCAAGTGAGTGTGGAGTTCTTTTATCTGCGTTTCCGGCTACCGCGAGGGACCCGGCCAGGGACGGAACGAAGCGATTGTTAGTTTAAACGGTTGTGTGATAAGTCTCAAAGGAAGATAGGATGGGATCCAGGCCTGGTAAACTAAAGAACTCTAGGAGGGTTCAGGAAGACATCCCCCGTGATAGCCCGTTGGGGTTGATGTTGGAACACTGGACTGACGAGTCTAGTACAAGGAATAAGAGTAAAAAGAAAATGATTAATTATTGTTGTTCTGTATGGACTAAAGAACCAATCCTGCCACCTGAGGTCCTTTGGCCCCAGTTTGGGGCCGTTGAGGACTGGGTTCGTCAGGAATTGAATATTTATGTAAACAACAAAGAACCTTTTAGCCAAGAAGAATCAGATTATGCAGCTTGTTGGGTGCTTCTGAATATACCACCACCGTATACCCTGACTGCCCCTCCTCTCCTTGAGCCTCCCCAGGAAGGGAAACAGGAGGGGGAGGGGTCAAGTGAAAGGGAGGACCAGGCAAAAGGGATTAGAGGCAAAGGAGGAGGTGAAGGTGAAGGTGAACTAGTGATACAGATTAAATATGCTGCTGATGGATTTATCTATCTGGTAGAAGGTGGCAGTGGGAGGGGAATAACTGCATTCCCAATGGGAGGACGACATCCCACACAGTCTTCCCCCTCCAGTGCTACTGCTGGCTGTTTCTGGTGTGGGAAAGTGGGACATTTCAAACGAGACTGTCCGGAACGAAGAGAAACGCAGGAGGTAAATGTCCCGCCAAAAACCCTTGATAAAATTGAAGATGAAACCCGAAGAGGGCACGGGAGCTTTAAGAAGTTCCCTCAGCACCATCCCAGAGGGAGGCGAAACAAATAAAAAAAAAAAAGAGGTAGAATTTCCCCAGCCCCCAGAAACTTTACAAGTAGGTAATTACAGGCTGGTGTGATTTAAAAGTAAATAGGGTTTAAAGATAAGAATATATAGTTCCCATTGGGATAGGTTCAAACCCTGAAAGAGAAGAGTTAGAATAATGAAATGGGATAGAGATTATTATGTGGTATTATAATTTATTCAAATTTTAGAGTCCACAAATTAATCTATCACCTCTGGGTGAAGTAGGGAGAGTTTGTTTTAGAGTTGTTTTAATTCTAGAAAGTCTTTAAAATCATATGTGAATAAGAACTTAATGTTGGGAAAATTAAGAAGGGACATATTATTTAGAGCACAGAGGTGAAATACCTCTTTGAAAATAAGAGGAACTTGGTGGACTGAGTTTCAAATATTGCCCACCACAAGAAGTCATTGAAATAACCACAAAAAGAGCTTGTGGTTTTAGATTTGCCTGCTTGAAAATATATAAGTAAAAGGAGAAAAGCATTTCAGACTTTCACTTCCCTTTTCCCTCTGCAGCGATCTGCAGACAAGAAAAGGTTTAAGAAAGGGGGGGAGTGGAATTTAGAGAATAATCAGGTATCTGGATTCTTCTCCCCTTGCTATGCAAGGAAAAAGGGGTCTTTGGTAAATTAGGTTGAGAACGTACATGGCAGAAGGTGTGGAGGTGTTGGGATAGAGAAAAGTGGTACTTGATGGTATTGTGGAATATTGAATACAGAGGGGTGTGTGTGGTTCTTCCATTCACCCTGAGTTGAGAGGACGGTTGGAAGAAAGGGGGAGGCTGAAATGAAGGTATAAGAGATTAGAACCTTCTACTGGTGGGACCGTAGAGGGAATTGGAAGGGAAGATGAGAAAAGAAGATGAGGGGATAGAGAGGGTCCTTTTTCCCCTTGAGGGGAGAAATACAATGAGCTGTTAGACGTTAAAGTTTTTCCTCTGTTACAAGGGCATGTTTAAATTGTATCTGGGGAAGGGGAGAATAATTTAAGTGAGCACATTGAGAAGAAATAATTAAAATTGGGTTGAAGTGACAAGAAGAATTGTAGACCTGAAAGAGTTAAAATCAGAGATTTTATATTGAGTGCATGTTTATGACTTTTAACTGTTTTTAGCAGCCTGATAGAGGCTGGATTATCTTTAATTATAGGTCAGTTTTTAAATAGTCCTTCTCTCTTTGGAGGAGATAAAGAGTTAAGGCTAAGGGCTCCCTTGGTCTTGCAAAAGGAACTACTTCTATATTTAATAATAGACCTCATGGGCCCTGAAGTGTATGGTCCCCTCCTGGTTCCCAACGTCCCAGGAGATTTTTAATAATACAGTGTGTTAAGCCTTCCTTTGTGGTTGGCATAGCCCTCCTGCAAGGCCTGGAGGGGATATATGTACTTGTTATTAGGACCAAGGTGTGTCAAATGTCATGCAGAAAAGAGCTCTTAAAAAGAAAGGAATAACAGACTTTACAAGATTATAGTTTTTCCCCCGACGGGAGAAAAACAGCCAAAAGATATTCTCTCTGTGTAAAATAATCACGAAACAGGTTCCTGTTTTACAGAGGCAGGCAGGAAAGGTTAAAAATAGGCAAAATTTAAAAGCTGTTGCGGTTTCTGTCTGCTAGAAGAAAATCATGAAAAGGAAGAAGGGGGGGAGTTCTCCTCCTCCTCCCAAATCAAGTTTATAAAGCCTCTTGAATATATTTTTGCAGTAATGAGAATGCGTGTCCAAGTATGTTTCTAAAGAAGATAAAACAATAAGCTTTGCTTATGAAAAAGTGATTAGTTTAAAGAAGAGAAATAATTATAACGATGAGAATCTTCTTTTCCTTTTAAAATCTAAGGAGGGGCACTAGTAGTGAGTGCCCCGCATCAAGTGCAAGCGATTCTTACCCAGGGGGTGGGTAAGTGGTTCAAAAATTTAAGAATTTTGAAATATAAGACAGTATTAATTAAAGGGGGATGGTTTGATATTAACAGGCTCTTGCACCAATCCTGCTGCCTTCCTGTGAAGGGGAAGGAGAGTAGGGCAACTGAAATATGCCTGTATTGAAAGAAATTTAACAAAGAGAGGGGTCCAATGGGAGGGGGGAGCCGGAGTTAACACCATTCCAGTCTATTCAGATGGACTACACTGGACTGCCCCAGATGGTGGGGTTGAAGTATTTGTTGGTCTTGGTTGACCATCTGACAGGCTGAGTAGGCACCCAGCCTCGTCAGAAAGGGTTGGGCCGGCCAATCAAACCATAAAAGAAACATCTGGCTAGATTGGTATGTGAAACCAAGATGTCATGGGCCCTCTTGCGAGTAAGTACGGCTCTCAGAAAAGACATTGGGATGTTTCCCCCCCCCACTTTTGTTCTTAAATATTATAAGGGATTCCTTAAAGGGGAAGGACAGGGGAACCACCTCAGGTAAAAACAAAAGACTACACCCTGAGACAGTATCTATTTGGGTTGTCCTCATCTCTTTCTTCCCTTAGGAAGCGAGATCTCCTTGTCCAGTGACCCCCCCTGGATTTTGCTGTGCATCCCATTCAACCAGGAGATTGGGTCTTAATCAAGGCTTGGAGAGAAGCCAAGCTCCAACCTGACTGGGAAGGTCCCTTCCAGGTGGTGTCAAACACTAAAACAGCTGTAAGAACAAAGGAAAAGGGGTGGATCCATTACTCCATGGTACAAATTAGTCCTGCTCCTCAGCCAGAGAACCAGTGGACTAGCCGGAAACATCCCGAGGACCCTTTGAGGTGAACTCTTTCCAGATAAATCAATAAGAGTTCATGAATACCCTCCCCCTCTATAGTAGCGTTTCTCTGTACGTGGACGATCAGGAAAGTGATACACCAGAGGACAGATATCTCTTTTTAGTTTGTCCATGGCTGGAAGAGGAGGGAGGGAATACTTCAAAATGGGTGGACGAGTTGTGTCCACACTATCGGATTAAAATAAGAAAAAGGGAGGTGGAGTACGCACAAGCTTGGATAATAAAGAAACAAGGGAGAAACCCCTTAGGCCATTGGAGGCATGGGTGGTCTGAATGGTTCTTTTTGAGAAAATTAGAAGGAGAGCCTATCCAAGTGTGGGAGTTGAATAAGAGAAAGGCAGGGCAAGAGAGCAGTGCATGCACTGGAGGTTGGGGAGATCAGATAACCCTGCCAATTCCGAACTTTGAAGGATTCCATTCCGAGAACTGCTCATGGTGCACGCAAATTGGGTTGCATACGGGGAGCTCTTCGGAATCAGAATCAGAGTCGTCTCTTGACTCTTGGGACTTCGGCCCATATGTAGACTGGGAGGAATTGTCAGACACAGAGGAGGCACAAGAAGATTGGGGACCGGCTACGGCCTAGGAGTGGGAAAAGTCACAGTACCATTTCTAAGAACGTCCCTGAAACTAAGCTTGTAACTGGAAAAAAAAAAAAAAAAGGACGTTTATACCCTCCAGATCAGGGGACGGGATCGGTATCTCATGTTCAAGGAACTAAATGAAAGCCTAGAGCTCAAAGATGCACCAGAAGGGCCCCAACTGAGAGATAGCCCACCGAAGACCCGCAGACGAAGCGCGATGCCCCAGCCGGGCAATTGGAAAAAGCAGTTGCTAAAAGAGGCGGAAAAAGACTCCAAATAAACCAGCTTCCCCTTTGTTCCCCCCATATGGAAAGGGGATGGGCATCCACATTGGAGACAGGGGACCATTGTGGGTATTTTTGGTTTTAACAGTCTGGTGGGAGGGAGCATATTTGAAGTTTGTTGGAGGTTTGCGGGGTTCAAAGGTGAAGTAGATCCCAGACAGGGAAAGGGGGGGTTTGGAAGCCTGGAGATTGTGGGAATACAACAATAACGGGGGAGTAGAAAGACCTATATTTGTCCAAAAGATTAAAGAGATAGTGGAGAAGAAATCCTGGCGTTGTCTCATGTGTGTACCGGCCTGGGGCACCCCACAGGCAAGGTTATATCCAGAATTACCCCGAGGATGTAGTTGATAAACAGGGCTGGTCTGTATTC